TGATGCCATTTGGTAGAGGCAATAGGTTGCAAAGCATTGTTATAACCTAAAGCAAAAATTACTTTTTATTTGCTTCCTCCTCTGCATTCGTCAGATATTTTTGCTAATGGAGTATTCCATTTAGCAGGCTGATTCATAATTCTCTTCTAACTGGTCAACTAATAGGATATCCAAGGCTATTACATTCATTTTTCCTCGATTTTCATCATTCCCACCAGAATTTGTCTCCTGTTGACAAGTGCCACTAAACTTGGTGGCTCTGATCTTTGTGAACAATTTTATTTCATTGAACGAGTGATTCAAAGGTTACTGTGTATTTGATTTTCAGAACATATTGAAGGTTACTATACTAAGGTGCAACAGCCAGACCAGAAAGACAAACAGCACTTCCACTACCGTTCTCCTCGAGAATTGTGTTGACAAATTCCTGCTCGTCAATCGGAGACGAGAAAATGTGTTCGTCTAGATTGGTCACACTCGGGGCAGATGTCATGTGTAATAGCTTATTCTTGCTGCCCGCAGGGTCGACGCCACTGTCTATTGCGCCATCAGCAAAGAGTGGGGGGAGAGGTGGGACATTAACTGCACCCGAGTCGATACGAGGCAAGTTATTCATACTCATTCCGGTCGTATTATTTGAACTGACATAGAAGCTTTCACCCCCGATCGGTGCAGCATCTTTTGATGGTTCACTCTCAGTCACTTGAAAAACAGAGGCTTGAGGTGCAGCTTCAACGGTTGTAGCATTCATCCGTTCCGCTTCTTCATAGGTCTCATTCAGATCGCCGGTGTCGGCAAACCAATCAAGAGAATCTGCGACATCAAAGAGTGCATCCACATCATTTCCCTTTGAGTACCAGGTCGGTGCATCCTTGTTAAAGTCTGTCCAACCGGGGTATAGTTCCAAATCATTAACTCCCGTTGGAGAGGACTCGCCAACGGCTAGTGTGTTAGCATTCCCYGGCTGATCAGTAGGAAGTGTTATCGGATTCGCTCCTGCTTGACGGGCGACTGGATTAACTTGTGTTTCAGGTGATACAATTGGTGTGGGAGTAAGATATCGGAATCTATGACAAAAGGAAAAATTRTGGTCAGTATCGCTAAATGAACATCGATAAATCCAAGAAACCTCAAACAAGGAAAGTATGGAAACGTACAGAGATTCTTCTAGAGCTGCCCCTTGACTTGATTGAGTTGCAATRCCAGAATTTGCAGATGATTGCTGAGCAACCATGGTAGACAATGGCGTAGGTAGCACGTACGGAGACAGWGCCGGTGCAACAGAATTCATAGCCACACCCGTCCCGTSTGAAGCTTGTTCGTAATGCGGTGTTTTKCGCGAAGTTGATGTTACTGCCGACTTCTTATTTCCCAGACGCCGTGCAGATGCTACAACCGATTGAATCGCTTTCCTCTTCGTTCCCGAAGTTTGTTTCCGCCGTTTACTCGCGTGTGCATTAGCATGTGCAGCTCCAGACGAAGATGTTGAAGCCAGAGCAGAACCTGCTCCATTCACTCCAACTCCACCATTCAAAGCAGATCTACCTCCATCTCCCATCATCATCGCAGAGCCAGCAACAACCCCTCCGTTTGAGCCACTGCCACCTGCCATTGAAACATCTTCCCCGTTCTGTTTTGCTTTGGCAAGCTTCTGAAAGTACTTTTGAGCATGCGTTCGAATCTGAACTACCGTACGAGACTTGATGAGTCCAGCAATTTTCTTCCAGCCTTTCCCATGCAACTCGAGTCCTTGAAGAAACAGATTGTGTTCTTCGGCAGTCCAGCGACCWGTATTCTCGCCGTTCGAGCCTCCTCCCGACCCCCCACCCGACTGAGCGGTGGTAGCTGTTGCCATGGTTACAGAAGCAGAGTTGCCTCCAGATTTCTTTTTGCTTTTAGAGGATGATTTGACTGTGGTTGTAGTCGTGGATGCTTGTGAAACAGACGCAGGCCTAGCTGCTGCCAGCACGGGCGATCGGCCCGATCTAGCTGGATGGGCTGCAGCAGATGGAGCAAGAGTTGACACTGGTGCTGCAGGGGCAGGAGCGGTTGCCGATGCGGGGGGCATCGATGCAGTTGGATCAGCAACAGGAGGAAGGGTAGACATGTTCGATCGTTGAGTGAAGACTGTTTGAACCGATCAGTGGGATTCTTTGATTAGAATCTATCACAGCAGAGCAAACGGACGGCAAYWGCCAATCAATCGAGCGAGATTCGTTAGTTTTCGTGATGATCAAATGATGATTGAGAAAATCCAAATCTCCTACTACCAATAGGTGGCATTCACGAGAACGATGCCATTCGCATGGGCGGCAAGGGAGAGACGCAACGAACTGAGAAGCAAAAATTCTTCCCGCCAAAAAAAGCCGATGATCTAGTTCTCAACGAACGAACGCTCTGGCTAGTTCTTATCCGATAACGTGCGATATAAATCAGGTAACCACATAGAGTGGATTCCGATTTATTTTCGCCATGGAGAAAGAAGACATTACTGGTGTCGCTTCACSCTCCTATGCTGYTGGTGTGCACTTCTTTTCTTACCTGACCTGATGAAATAATTAAATGRGAGGAACACTTTTTACGAGGAGGAAGGCGACTTCGATTTTGCTTGTTTCTTGTGCAGTCAAAGCAACACCGAGTAAGATGGAGCTGATAGAACTGGTGTTATTTTTTCATGCGCGTGAATCGTTAYTGGAGAGTGAACCTAGTAAAGTACACTTCATTAAACATTAAGCCCAGGACTGGACGATTGGAAACCAGCTGTTAATATCCGCCAATCAAAAGTCTCAATATAAAATAAAGAACACCTTTTGTTCCATTACGTACCGTAGAGTACGGTACGTTCGTATCGTGAACCGTAACCCAGAAACGCGTAGAGAATGAGTAAAACACGCTTAYCGGTGAAGGTCCACCTCAGTGTCAAAAGAGGAAAAGTGCGTTTGTAGTAGTCACCGTTGGAGCATTAGAGATGAAGTTAACTGATAGTCGACTTGTACCGTATGTATTACATAACCCATACAATACGTATGCTAGTACARTCGTCAGTGCTGTGCAAACTGCTAACATCAAACATGGTGTGCTGCTACTCGTACTTTGTACGTACCAGTTAATTCGATATAAAGTGCGTTAACCGTAAAAAGCCTACCACGCCCTACATAGAAAAAAGGCATTCTACTCAAACGCCAAAATTATTACTAGTAAAATCACGGTTAATTTTKAAGCCCAATATTTAGTACTGATCCTACATAGATCTACGAGTTTTCGGTCACTTTTTGACCACAAACAGTGTTATTGAGGCCATTAAAAGTGCTCAAGAACTGGCTCAAATGAGATCCCCTTTGGGGATATGCTCGGTCATAGTGTTAAGAAGAGTGCTGTGTGTCATTCTTGTTACATGATTAAGGGCCAAGGGTGACCCGGTTCTCCATTAACAGCAGGTATGGCCAAATTTGGCCATTAGAGACCGGCTACTGGTTAGAAAATAGGCCAGAGCTCTATCAAAAAACAACTTTAGACCACCGGACTAAGCGCCCAGACCAAGATGATACAATTACTTAAAGATCTAGATCATTGGGATGCTTAAGGATTCCATGTAGGCTAAGGACTAGTCTGCAAAAGTTACAGGTGGTGAGGGGTCAAAAATCGTTAATTTTAGGGGTTATTTTATTGCGAATTAACTGGTACCCTAGTACCATATTGTTCAAAGAAGATGGGACATCACAGTTTTGCTCTGTTTCTACCAAGTACTAGTAGAAATGTAGTACTACTGTGACGTCGTACTGCTACTAGTGGTACTACTAGTAGTACTAGTGCAACCTACTAGTACTGCAGTACCAGTACCGGCCGGTACTGAAGAAGAAGTTCAATTTCTTTGAAGTCATCAATTTGGGTCTTCTTAAATTGGGGGTGCAAATACGCAAAAACCGGTTCATATGTATTTGTACTTTAGTACATACATACKTTACGTACGGTACGACTGATGATAAAGTTGCAATTTGCAGTAATCCATAATTTTTACTACGTACGGTACTGTAYTAATTTTTCATACGAATTACGAATGCCATCTGCTTTCTGTTCATTTTGATTGGTTCTATTCAAAATACGATCGAAACCAGAATTCTTCTATCGTCGAAGAATGAAAATTTCATGGCAACGGCAGAGACTTTGGCACTAAAAAAAGCATTTGAAGTACTTCTACCTACCACTGCACGGTACTTCGAAGTTTCTTCGCCTCTTATTCACACAATAATTTTGATTGGTGTTTGACGCGAYGCGAATTCCGAAGAAGAAGACGCTTCAGGAAAAGCCAGCACAATTCTACACGTACCGTACGGTACGTACGTACGGCACGGTATGAGATGAGGAGGAAAATGGAAAATTACAAAATTACTGAATGAATCAATCCCTAGTAGCTAGTGAATAAGCTAYTCATTCATTCACCAAATTGTGGAGGGTCGGAAGGCGTGTACTACTCGTAACTGGTAGGGTACGAGGTACGGTACGACTGAGACACCAACTACAACAGTACATCTAAAAGCTGTCAACAACTGCCAATATGATGTCTTCGGGATGGGTCTTCGTCTGTGATTTGAACATATTTTTAAGTTTCTGATTTCCAAATTCGCAACGAAATATAACTTCCGAGAAACAATTTATTTAGTGCCATAAAATTGTGGAGAAAGAAAAGCCACGAAGAATATTAATTAKACAATGAAAAGGCATTTGTCGTTGCTTTRTTTAGCGTGCCCAACYTCAGTGTTGGCACTCGTACCTCACCGGGTGAGTGTGTTCAATCGCAATGTTTGCCAAAAGGCTAGAGTATTGYTCTTCATTGGTTGATAGTTTTCAGCTCGAAACTGACTCTATGGGTACCTAAAATGTTTAATACTAATACTCCTTTATTCGACGGGTATCTGCGACAGTTTTGGAATCGGCCGAGCACAAAAGCAACCGCATCATCAAAGAAGAGAAACAGAATATCTGAACAACGACGCAGCCCGRTTGATGCTAGTTTTTTAATGTATTTTGATGATTGCGAACGGTCAAAAGAGGTGGAAGAACGATTGAAAAATCCACTCCTCGCAAGCAACAATATCTTTTCTCGATGCAATAGTCTCAATAATGACGAAAATGACTTTTGGATCATTTCTCAGTCGGACGAAAAAMAACGAGCTCTTGACAGATTCCTAGGCTACAATCCAAAATCAGCCGGGATGCTCACAGACGAGCAAGTTGAAGAAGARACCTTGCGTTGGGTAGTGGACACAGATATTGTTTGGAGTGAAGATGAAGACGCATCTCCTTCCGATTCAAATACGGACGACATCCCAAGAAGAATGGAGCGACAACGGGTAACTAATGTTCAATACGACGGCATCAATGACTTGTTCGTTGCATCCTCTTGCCATTCTACGGCAGAAACCTTGGCATTCCTGTGGAACAGAATCGTAGAGGCCCTCGAAGAAGAAACTTCGACATCACCWAAGTCTTCCTCGTCACGAAATTCCGCGAAATTGATTGTGTTTCCAAAATCGGAATCTATTTGGAACTATGATACCATGGTGACTATACTAGAAGCCATTCAAATGACCAGRCCACTCTTGCCAAGCAATATAGAATTTCGATTGGATTTGTTCCACCCTAATTTCAAGCATTCACCACGGATGTGGTCTCCGCAGTGGCATAGTCCCTTTCCGACAGTAGGTATTACAATAAAAACAAAAAAGCAGGTATCAATTGATGAACTTGATCTGGACTCGGTACGAGGGAAGCTCGACGTCATCTTCCAATCTGTTGATGCTACACGCGAGCATATTCARAATTCACACGAAGATCACCAGCAGATCCTCAAAGATTCCCGATCATGGTTTGATGCAGAGAACGAACAACCGGAGAGCGCCAAGAACAATGAAATAGATTGGGTTCTTCACCCTTTTGGTTCTCCATTCCAGTTGTACCGGACTTTGTGGAATCTTGTTCTCGATCTCTCCACTGGTGATAAAAATGAATATGTGGTGATCGACCCATTTTTGGATTCTCACACCTTCCATCGGGTTGCTGTCACAGTGAATGCAGCACTCATCCGATTGGACATCCCCGTTCGCATCACGGAAGTTTATCACCCTTTCGCTAGATCACCATGCAGCAACAGTAGCTGCAAAACACGACCACCATATGGAATGATCCAGTTATCGCCTTTGCGTCAGTAGGGTCGGATAACAGAGCAGTTGGAAAGTTTGGAAATACAATCACTAGTAATAGAAGTAGAATACAAATATTTACTATGTTTAAACATTTGTGTGGCAACAATTGCTAATGTCAGTCCGATTTCAGTGCATTTATCGCCAGTCGTGGGTTCCCATACGCTTCTTCCCGGTATTCATCCATTTGACCAGATGCTCCGACTTGCGATTATCACCTTCTCCTGACGCTCCATGCCAACCCTTGCGACCAAGGCGCTCCAATTTCTTGGCTGCCTTAACTGCGGATTCTGAATAAAGACCAACCTGAGACGGATCACGAGGTTTCGAGTGCCCCCTTGTGACGCTTGCTTCACGTCTAGCAGCTTCGCTCTTCGATCGCTTCTTTTTCTTGGCCTGTGTTTTGCTCATTGTTGCATCCTGCATTTCGTCATCCGATTCAATCGCCTCTGTATCACGGGAACTGCGTTTCCTGGATCGTTCTCGCTTGCGACCACGCTCTCGATCCATGGTTCGGCCTCGTTCGATCATTTTACTGGCATCCACTCCAAGTTTATCCATTTTTGCCTTGACCACATCCTCGGATCGGTCTCCCGGCTGGTGCTTATCTTTGGTTCTTCCTCTTGCAGTGCGTGGGATGACGGGTTTATTCTCGCTCCTGTTAACCTGAGACATTTTTCGGATAATCTTTTTGCGGTCACGGATGGCATCAACAGCGGCCTCCTCTTCACTGTCCAAATCGGACTCGGGTTCTTCTCCCATTCGCTCCGCCTCGAGTTGTTTGAGGAGTTGTTCCTCTTCCATCTCGAGATCTGCAAGTTTCTTCTCGATGTCAGGATCAACATAATCAGCGATATTTTTTCCGTCGATAATTTCGGGGATTGCGTCGAATTTCCATTCGTCTTCCTTGAGTTCGTACTGTTCTCGGTAGTCAGGAGCCCAAACTCCGGGACCACCGTTCTCCCACATGAGATCACGTGCTGTCTTTCGGTACGATCCGTTCATCTCATCATCGTCACCGCCATCAGTATCACCCTTGGTCTGTGCGTATCCTGATCGCGAACGTTTTGGTTTGTGATCGACCGATCCGATTCTSCCTTCGGCGATCGCATCCTTGACGGTATCTGGAATRTGGGCTCCGCGCTCAACATTATCGCGAGGTGTGGGGTGGAAGACCTGCAGACGATTCATCACACCCTCGATCTTCTTGCCCGAGACACGTGCATCCACACGAGACGCAAGGAGCTTTTCACAAGCCGATGCCTTGACTTCGGARACACCGTGCTCCGATTTGTTCGACATAGTCATGAGAGAGCAATTWGCGTCCTTGGCCAATGCCTCGATCATTTCTTTTTTCTCAGGGTCTAGCGTTTCCCAGGGTTGTTCRTCGACCTTGTTGACGACGAGAATCAGCTGCTTGTTCGCAAACAGGGGCTTGATACTCCGGAAGAGTGAGCATTGGGCTTCGATGGTATACCCACAGTGTTCGGAAATATCGCAAAAGTACAAGACRCTACAGGTCAAATGGGCAAGAGCAATAATTGCCTGCATCTCAATGGTGTTTCTCTCTTCCAAAGAATGATCCAAAATTCCGGGCGTATCGATCACCTGCCACCGCAAATACTTGTAATCGCAGTGACCAACAAACAGCGATTTGGTAGTAAATGCATAGGGTTGGACATCAACATTGCCACGGGTAATTTTGTTCATGAAGCTAGACTTTCCGACATTGGGCAAACCGCACATGAGAATCGTCCTCGTGTTCGGATCCAACGCCGGAAGACGAGAAAGATGCTTACGAACTTCTTCCAGGTAGGCCAGGGATGCCTTTTGTCGCTTTAAGACCGTGCACATTCGTCCCAGTGCTGCTCGTTTGAGACACTTGCAGCGGTAAGCAGAATCTGCGTACTTCACCATGCGAATCATATCCCGAGCGATTTGATCCACGAGCGAACGGGCCGTGTTGAGTTGTCCCAGAGCAAGCTTGTAGTGATCTTTATCATACAAGGTATTGCAGAGATCGGCGTAAAACGGGTGGATATCGTTGAGGCGAGGAAAGTCGGTCAAAATCTKCGACAGCCTTTCGGAAATTGTTTGTTGAGTAAATTTAATCTTTCTCATGCTTCGAGATGATTTAGAGGATTGAACCAGAAGACGAATGGCACAAAAATATATGAGATAAAGAAGAGGGTTTCGAACAGACTCGCTTCTCGTCACGAATTATATACTCACTAGAAGCCACGGATTCTCGTGATCTTGTATCCGGGGTGAATAATAGTCGGGGTTCGACGCTGGGTTCTCATGAGGACAATGTCGATGAAATCCGGCGCCGCCGGCACCGGACTCATTTTCTTAAAGTTGTAGACGGGCATGGTGAATGTTTGCGAATCGAATTGAAGTAATGCCTCACAACTTCCTAGCTTATCGATAATTTCTCAACCCGATATCGCTTGCAATATTCGAAAGACTGAGGACAACGAGAAATAGCTTGTTGTTGTTCTTTGGCAATACAGCGGTGTTGTTTTCTTTCAACGCGGAGATCGGATGCTTGAACGTGCACTCGCATCTGCTTCCGCGATCATTATTTTTCTGCGGTCGTGGTCAGCGGTCTGCGAATCAATGTGGCCGAGGGGACGATTCGAGTTTTGTTGTTGCGGTCCTTCCCTGAATGAATTCTTCGATGGCTGTGTGCCAACTAGTCTGTCCGTGATACGTCTAGCCTTCGGCAACACACATGTTTCGGTGCGAAAAACTGAAATAATGCAGGTACGTACGTACTTGTACCGGGTACTCRTACGTACGTCCACGACTTATGAGTACGGTGCCGTCTGCCGTACAAAATAAAAAACTATTATCGTATCGTAYGTAGGGTACGTATGTTCCCGATACCATATCGTTCACTAATTGTTWTTGYTGTAGTGACATAATAGGACTACKACAAGAGTGCGGTGCACAACTCCATGCTGCTGCATCCGTATTGTGATTACGGAAAGGAAATGCCATCCRTTGCGGAYCCATCGAATCAGGCGGCCAAAACGCGGTTCGGAATTCGTTGGTGAATGATCTTACCGGCCGTAGCACCACCGGAAGGACAGAGGAAACGGCCAAAAGCACGTCTTTGATTTCGGACCGTATCGCTGGTGCAGATCGAGTTCCTTGTTGTGTTGCAGCAGCAGCGGAATAGAGGACTCACGGAACCCACGGTCGCCGGTGCCGCCGTGGGCGGTCGTCTCTGATGCCGCAATCGCTGTGCTCGTGTTTGTGTTTGYGTTTGCATTCGCCCCCGTCCCGCTATTGGGACCGGCTGGGTGTTCCCCGCTCTCGTCGATTTGCTTCAGCGCGATCTCGATGAGCTGCTGGACCAGGTCGTGGATTCCGGCTCCGCTCTTTGCCGACACGTCCATGTGGATCAGTCCGTTCCTCTGTTTGTTGTATGTTGTTGATTATGATGTGGATTGAAAGTGCACAACACCCGCAGCATTGTGTTGGTACAACGCAACGAAACGCAATGCAAAAACGAAACGAAACGAAACGAAACAAAACAAAACAAAACAGAATGAGCCGCGAACCGTTTCCATGCTGTTCGTGTTCTTTTGCAATAGTGCGGAACGATGCGTTCCACCCGCCACGGCACAATGCACCCACGCCGGGCGGCGGTCCGCTCCTACCGTCCCGGGATCGGCGCAAACGAATCGATCGCCACACGGCATCGGACCACGGTACATGTCACTCACCGTACACCACAGCTGCACCATGTCCTTGTCCGGATGGGAATTGTCTTCGGAGCTCAGCAAGGAATCCAGGTACGAGCCCCGGTACACCTCGTTGTTGAGAATGGCTTCGAGGTAGTTGGTGTTCGTTCCCAGGTACGTCAGGAGTTCCAGCCTGTTTTCGTTTCCTTCCTCGTTGTTGCCAGTGTTGTTGGCGTTAGCGTT